CAGGGTCCCCCTCAAGGTGGTCAACAAGGTGGTCAGGGTGGTCAACAAGGTGGTCAGGGTGGTCAACAGGGTCCTCCTCAAGGTGGTCAACAAGGTGGCCAGGGTGGTCAACAAGGTCCCCCTCAAGGTGGTCAACAAGGTCCTGCTGGTGGTAATCAGGGTCCTCCTCAAGGTGGTCAACAAGGTCCTGCTGGTGGTAATCAGGGTCCTCCTCAAGGTGGTCAACAAGGTCCTGCTGGTGGTAATCAGGGTAGTGGTCACGGCCATCATCATCATCATCATCATCATGATTGTGCCGGTTGTGATTGTGATGTTTGTTGTGGTGGAAAGTAATAAGCCAGGTATGTGCTGTTGAAAGATTGCTGCTGATATTTACTTCATCAATCGTACATTCTTCTTTGAGATTACTATTTTGAATTATTTCGTTATTGAATAAATTCACTGTTTTTGCTTTGTAGGACATATGGTGGCACAAACACAAATTCATACCAAAAACCGAACATTGCCATCAATCATCATCAACATAAAAAAACATCATGTACTAGCTAGTTTTCTCCGCTTTAGTTATGAATTAGTTAGCTTGTTCCTCTTATCTTCTCTTATTATGTACTTCCTTCGTATATATTCTTGTCTATTTTTCGTCGTGATTTTTTCTGATTTTTTTATAATTCTATATTTCAATAAAAATAAACACTGAAAATATACTCTTCTTTTCTTCCTGAAAACAACACCAAATACTTATAATAAGCATGGGCAGCGTCTCATTATCTGTCTAATCTCAAAAATATATACTCAATTTGTTTTAAGTTTCAATAAATATGAGGGTGTAAGGTTCTGGAAGATCCCTCACCAAAGAATTAGGGTAATCTTGAACTATCATGATAGACTTTGAATTGGTTCTAGAGCGGCTCATGGGGCCGCTGACAATCCTGCATTGATCTTCATTTCAATATGAAAGAATAACAAATCCTTCCATCTTTCAAACAAAAGGATAGGTGTGGGTGTGGCAATGAGTGTGAGTGTAGGTGTGGGTGTCGATGTGGGTGTGGGTATGACATCGTGCGAGTATATAGTGTCGGTGTGACAGCCAAGTGGATAGAGTGTCCACACCCACATCCACACCCTGTCACACCGACACTATATACTCACACGATCTCACACCCACACTATATACTCACACGACCTCACACACACACACACACACACACCTACACTCACACTCATTGCTACACCCACACCCACTTCCATTCATACCCACGCTTACACTCACACCCACCCTCAAGATTCTTCGCACGTTCTGCTAAAGAAAACTTTTTCACGTTACGTAACACACCTTTTTATAGAGTGCGCAGTTTATTTAAGCGAAGTCTACAGATAATACATATAAATTATTACATTAAATTGTCGTTTGAATTATATTATAACTCGAATTAAGCGGCTACTTCGCATAAGATTCTAAGTCCACGAGCAAATCATCGAAATTGGGACAAAATCGTTTGTTGCTCATCGTTGAATCGACGAAATCAGATGATGTATATAACTGATAGTTCGAGCTCATGTTCGTTGTCGACAGGATGCTTGCTAGACAAGAACAATGAGTTTAGTTCGAATACGAGTGGTACACTTACGTGCTAGATAAAGAAAATTGAATTTTGCAATGACCTTTTCATCCTGCTCAGCAATGATTGAAACTGTTCGATCTTGTCCATTTGGGTCCATCAAACATGCTGGTGTCTGAAAAGCAATAGTTTTCGTATCAATCAGTTTGTATTGAATATTCGTTGTCTGATTCAAGCCCTCATAATCGAAATATATAGAAAGTCCTTCAAGAAAAATAGAATAA